TGTCTTGTCGAACCTTTACTGAATGTAATTTTAAATTATGTATTTGATAAATGAACAAATATAATGTATATAAATTTATTTATAATTCATTGGCACGGTAACTTTTCGTTGTTTTTTTTTTTCATTTAAGATAACAAAAATTATTAATTCATTATTTGATGAAAATATGAGAATATTTTGATTTTATTCAATCTTCATCATTTAAAGCAAAAATACCCAACAGTCAAATTTATTTAAAAATAGATACAAAACAGATTCCTTATTGTTTTTATGGATGGCATATCCAAAAAATAATGCATTTACATTTGGGAAGATGAAGATTTTTTTCCGATCGGCGGACACATTAATGTACGTATATTCTTAATGAGCATACATGAATGGGATAAAACAAAACAATAGGACCCCACCCGAAAAAAATCAAACACCTCCAAAACATAATTTTAATATGGTTTGCAAAAAAAAAACCCACAGACACAGACATCTACACGTCATAATATACCGTTCCTAGTTTGGAAGTTTAATTGTGGTTTTTGACTCATTCTGATTGTTTTTTAATACCCACTTGACGTTGTTAACTCTTCAATACAGTATGTTATTCGTTAAACATGTGAATCTCTTATTTTGTTTTAACCAATGTTTGCCCCATCGTCTGCAGGGACGGATCCTGCCATTTTTAAGACGGGGGTTCCAACCCAGGATAAAAGGGGGGGGGGGGGGTTCCAACAATATGTACCCATTTAGAAGCATTGTTGATCGTCAAAAAGGGGGTTCCAACCCCCCCCCCCCCAACCCCCCCTGGATCCGCCACTGATCTGTAATTAAGATTTGTAAGTATATATTCTTAATTTCTATATGAGGGTCTGAATGGAAGTCTTCATATCTGATCATATCTGTATTCCTTAATCTGTAGGCCATTTTCCTGTTTTCTTTATTTTTTTGTCGATTGTTCTCTATTCTTTATTTTTTGCCCATTATTCTTTATTCTATAACCCCCATCCAGATCCTTCTATTTGTGTGTATATTTGTTATGTTTGATGGAAGTGTTTTTCAACAGTCGACCTTTTTAAAAATAGGAGCATACCGAGCCCTTCTTCGTCCTTTTACAATCTAATTTTAATTAGATTGCTCTTTTTCCCAACATGAGGCGGAATTTAGGCAAGAGATCATACAAACCGAACGAGAAGAAAAAAGAGAGACCATACGAATGAGAAAATAAAAAAAATATGTCGGTCAAAATCAGACAAACATATTGACAAAACCGAGAACCGACCAACACGAGCCCCGCCAAAAACCGTGGGTGAACTCATATGCTCGGAAGGGTTAGCAGATCCTGCTCTACTATAGTGACACCCATCATATCATTTTTTTAAACTTCAGCTACCACTAAATATTTTATGTTCTCAGCCTGTTACGAGAGTGCCACGCTCTCTGTGTAATATAAATAACAACTGCAACATCAATTGTTGATGGGACCATAGATGGCATGTTGCAAGTAAAAATTATCCTTATTTAGCATGCTCTAGCTCTTTTCTCATCGGGATTGAACATTTCTTGCCTTAGTCTGGCAAAGATTAAGTTATCATTTAAAATTCAACTGTTTAGCACTTTCATAAATTCTATTATTTATTCCAAACTAGACAAAGTGATGCCCCGCAGTCCTCTCTGAAGTAACTGTATTATAATAAAGTTAGTCAATGTAGGACTTTCTTTTAGATATAAGGGAGCTACCATTTGATTTTTAGGAAGGGCGGGGGGGGGGGGGGGGGGGTTGAATGAAAAATTTTGCCCTGCATTTTGTTTTAGTTGTAATCTCTGTCCTGCCTTTTTATTTTTCAATCTATTCGGTCCTGCCTTTTTTATTAGTTTATCCTGACTTTTTTTACATAAATTGTCATCCTGCCTTTTTTTTTGCCAAGCTGCTCATCCTGCCCTTTTTTTTAATCAAAACTCCTGTCCTGCCATTTTTTCAAATTTCATCCTAGCCCCCCACCCCCCATAAAAATCAAATGGTAGCTCCCTTATTGTATCTGGGAGACCCAAAATAAGCCCCCGCAAAGTGTTATTTTAAAATACACAAAGTTGAGCATGGGAGCACATAGGTCTATGGTTCACGGTAGTAGGAGTTATCAGGAAATGCTATGCAACTCTTATGCAAGTATATACTGACAAAGTTCAACTATCTCCGAAAAGAGCAAATATCAATAAAAATCAAAACACTGACCACATGCACACCTTCAATATATGTACAAACAGCCAGCAAAGTGAAAACTTCCTAGCATTCAAACTATAGGAGCTATCTGGAAACGCTATGCACCTCTTATGCAAATAAATACTCCAAAAAATGACAAAGTTTAACTATCTTCCAAAAGAGCAAATATTAATAAAAATCAAAACCCTGACCACATGCACACCTTCAATATATATACAAACAGCCAGCAAAGTGAAAACTTCCTAGCATTCAAACTGTAGGAGTTATCTGGAATAACTATATACCCATAATTGGACGGACGGACGGACGGACAGGGTAAAACAATATGTCCCCCCAACATTCAGCTTTAAAGTAAATGAAGACTACTTGTGATGATCAAAGATTTCTCTTTAAGAACTCATTAAAAGAAAAAAAACAATATCTAACATACCGGATGTCTAAAATACCAAACATGTATGGGAATGTGTCTGTCATAAACGGAATTCTAGGACCAATTTATTTGAGGCTTATCACAGACGTTCCTTGAATTGACAGAACCCAAATCATGATGGCTCTGTAATGTGTTTTTCTAACGGAATAGAAGGGATATAGTGGTTTTATGAATGTCACAAAATCTCTTCATGCACTGACAAAACCAATGGAATAAAGTGATTACGTTAATTGTACCAGACTTAACCATTAATTCATTATAAGCTTCTTTGTAGAACAGCAACCCATCAGTAAATGAAACATGATTAGAAATGTGATTTTATTAAGGAAACTGGAATAAGACATGTCATTCTCCTCACGTATCTGGAATTTGTCTAAAGAGTGTACAAATTTCAATGAATCTTTTGGAGAATCTTTAATTCTTACATTGACATTAAGATCGAAAGTTTTTAATCTAACCAAGTTTTGAAAATGGAAGTTTGCAAGAAATATGTCATTGTATAATAGTCAAATATGGAAGAAGATAAGTGATCGATTGTTGGTGTTTAACTCCACTTTCGGCACAAAGGTCATATCATGGGGGTCAGTTTTTATTGGCAGAGGAAGCCATAATACACAGAGAGAACCATCATCCTTCAACATGTTGACGTGCAATCCCAGTCAATTAAGATAGGAGTTGGTAGCACCTTGCTAAAGCTGGGTTCCAGCTCACAACCTCAGTGTTGACTAGTGATCACTGATGATTAATTGCTCAAAATTACCAATTTCACCAAGGCTCAAAGAAGATAATGGACTTTATATGAAGAAAAGTGGCATAAATCATCAATTTTTTTGTCATGCAGCTCTTTACTAGTTTCGGTACTAATACATCCTTGGCTTTCAAATATTTGGCTTTGAGTGTAAATCTAGAACAGCGCTGTGAATGCATAAAATTTACATACCAGTTAGTGTTATTTTCATTTTTTTGGCTATACAGATGTAAAAGTCCTAGGGTTTATGTGTCAAAAACAACAATGTTTGGAAGAATTCTTTGTAATGCTATTTTGAGTAGGATCTTATTACATATGATGCAGATTATTTTCAAAAATATACTTTAATGGGTTTTAATATAAGCAGCATGATATGACTCACTAGTGAACAAGGTCTTCTTGAGCACCTGATTTCACCCCTTGGATTTTAGGGTTTTGTATTGCTCAATCTTAAACTCTGTTTTAGTAGATTATCATGATTATAGTGATCAAGATTATAACCCAATGTTTACTGCTGTACCCTAATTTTTTGACATTTTAAACTTTTATGTCTGTTTGTTTTGTTCACACATTGTTGTCAATATAATGGAATTCTATGCAACTGTAATACAAGTGAGAGGTTTAGCTAGCTATAAAACTAGGTTTAATCCATCATTTTCTACATAAGAAAATGCCTGTACCAAATCAGGAATATGAGTTGTTTTCCATTCGTTAGATGTGTTTGAGCTTTTGATTTTGCTATTTGATATAGGACTTTTTGTTTTGAATTTTCCTTGGAGTTCATAGATATAAGAAGATGTGGTATGAGTGCCAATGAGACAACTCTCCATCCAAGTCAAAATTTATAAATGTAAACCATTATAGGTCAAAGTATGGTCTTCAACACAGAGCCTTGGCTCACACCGAAGAGCAAGCTATATCAGTATTTTTGTGATTTTACTTTTTAGTAGACAGATGATGTCATCTCATTTTCTTTTTTACCATAGAGTTGTCATTCTTTTTTTAATATATAGTTTTTAATTGCTACCCTTCTTCGCCTTTTTAAATGCAATTTTGTTTTATTGAACTTATTGTACTTATCCTCAATTATGAATATCTATTTTAGATTTGGTCATGGTAGCATGAAAACTCATTTTGCGTTTGCTCACAGATGGTACCCCTGCTTTCAGTATTTGGTTAACAGGAAGTTGTTTTTGTAACAGACTGACAGAATGACAAACAGAGACAGATACACGTAAACAAGTATACCCCTCTCCTAATGGGAATAATTAATGTATCATGTTTACTGAAATAAGGTCAGAATATATTACTTTCTCTCCTGAAATCTTTTCCATTTTTTTTTTTTTTTATATGTAAAACTTTATTTTCAACAATTTGCAAGGTAAACTAAACATTTCCCAGTCCTCCCAAAAGGCAAAAGAGGAAATTGATATACAATCTAGACCTATTACTTTCTGACATTTGTGCCTTACTGTTGGTCATATTAAACGAAGAAAAAAGAAATATTGTATTATTTAAACCTCAAATTATATGTTCGTTAAATGGTGCATGTTTGTTATTGTTGATTATTGTTTGACTGTAAGCATACAAAGGGGAATAACTCAAACTCAATATTTTGTTGAAAACTGTGTTCATTTTTATTCAATAGTATATAAAATGGATAGATACAGCATTTAAATCATTTACAGGATAATTAAAAAAAAACTTCTATACAAAAACAATAAACAACAAAGTCAACAACTATTTTACATAAATAATAAAATGCTCCGCAGGGCGCAGCTTGATACGACCGCAGAGGTCGAACCCTGAACAGTTGGGGGAAGTATGGACACAACATTCAAGCTTGATACAGCTTTGGATTTGGATTGTGATTAAATATTTGACACAGCATAGGTTTCTAACACAGATTGAATGTGGTCTAAGAACTTAAAAATTTTAAATTGGACATTCACCTTTTATGGTCCAATATCCAAAATCTAAATACATGGTTAGATTCAGCATATCAAAGAACCCCAAGAATTCAATTTTTGATGAAATCAAACAAAGTTTAATTTTGGACCCTTTTGACCTCAATGTGGACAAAGTTGATAACGGGGCCCAAAAATCAAAAATCTAAATACATGGTTAGATTCAGCATATCAAAGAACCCCATATATTCAATTTTTGTTGAAATCAAACAAAGTTTAATTTTGGACCCCGATTTGGACCAACTTGAAAACTGGGCCCATAATCAAAAATCTAAATACATGTTTAGATTCAGCATATCAAAGAACCCTAAGAATTCAATTTTTGTTAAAATCAAACTAAGTTTAATTTTGGACCCTTTGGACCTTAATGTAGACCAATTTGAAAACGGAACCAAAAATTAAGAATCTAAATACACGGTTAGATTCGGCATATCAAAGAACCCCAATAATTCAATTTTTGATGAAATCAAACAAAGTTTAATTTTGGACCCTTTTGACCTCAATGTGGACAAAGTTGATAACGGGGCCCAAAAATCAAAAATCTAAATACATGGTTAGATTCAGCATATCAAAGAACCCCATATATTCAATTTTTGTTGAAATCAAACAAAGTTTAATTCTGGACCCCGATTTGGACCAACTTGAAAACTGGGCCCATAATCAAAAATCTAAATACATGTTTAGATTCAGCATATCAAAGAACCCTAGGATTCAATTTTTGTAAAAATCAAACTAAGTTTAATTTTGGACCCTTTGGACCTTAATGTAGACCAATTTGAAAACGGAACCAAAATTTAAGAATCTAAATACACAGTTAGATTCGGCATATCAAAGAACCCCAATAATTCAATTTTTGATGAAATCAAACAAAGTTTAATTTTGGACCCTTTGGACCTCAATGTGGACCAATTTAAAAACGGGGCCCAAAATCCAAAAACTAAATACACGGTTAGATTCAGCATATTAAAGAACCCCATGAAATCAAGAATAAAACCCCATTGAAATTGGTCAAGAAATAAGCAATTTATAGGAAGTATCTTCTTTTGCACAATCCTGTGCTATTAAATATTTCTTGCTATTGCGCAATACTGTACAATTGACAATTTCTTGCTATTGCGCAATATTGTGCTATTGGATATTTCTTGCTATTGCGCAATACTGTGCAATTGAAGATTTCTTGCTATTGCGCAATACTGTGCAATTGAAGATTTCTTGCTATTGTGCAATACTGTGCAATTGAAAATTTCTTGCTATTGCACAATACTTATTATATAATAATTTACACATCCTGTTTGGTGTGTATCTCCTACCATATCATTATTATTTGATTTTAAATATAAATCAGAAATAACCAACTTAAAATGGAAAATTTTAAAAGGAACAAAAAAGGAAAAAAAGAAAAAAAAGGAAAAAAAAATAAATCCCCCCCAAAATTTTTTGAACCCCCATTATGATTCATCACCCCCAAACTCAACCCCAGCCTTCCCTTTGTGGTATGGTACCTTGCAGTACAATTTCAGAGAGATCCATACACTTGAACACAAGTTATTGTCTGGAAACTAGAAAAAAATGTGTTTTTTGGCCCCTTTTTGGCCCCAAATTCCTAAACGTTTAGGGCAATTACCCCCAAACTCAAACCCAGCTTTCCCTTTGTGATATGGAACCTTGTAGTACAATTTCAGAAAGATCCATACACTTACACACAAGTTATTGTCATGAAACTAGAAAAATGCTTGTTTTTTGCCCCTTTTTTGGCCCCTAATTCCTAAAATTTGGAGGCAATTACCCCCAAAATCAATCCCAGCATTCCTTTAGTGATATGGAACCTTGTGGTACAATGTCAGAGAGATCCATACACTAACACACAAGTTATGTCTGGAAGTAACAAAAATGCTTATTTTTGGCCCCTTTTTGGCCCCTAATTCCTTTACTGTTATTACCATAACCCCCAAAATCAATCCCAACCTTCCTTTTGTGGTATTGAACCTTGTGGTAAAATTTCATAAAGATCCATTCACTTAAACTAAAGTTAGAGTGCGAAAACCAATGTGTCTTCGGACGACGCCGGACGACGCCGGACGACGACGAAGCCGACGACGCCAACGTCATACCAATATACGACCACAAAAATTTTTTTGCGGTCGTATAAAAACAATAACGCTGACAGTGATGCAAGTAAAATGAGGTTCCTAAATGGGGTACCTTGTCATAATATCCAAAACTTTATCAAGTATACAGTTATTCATGCTACATTTCATTGGTTACTAAATAATTTGATGAAAAAAGCAATAAAAGGCCTCAACTATATGTCTGTCTTAGTAATAACAAATTGAAGAACAATAAATCCTAGTTAATTCTGTACAAGGAATTGGATGAAATATTTTTCACAATTACTGGCCATGAGATTTTATTCAGAAATTGGGCATCCCCTCCCCCCTCTTGACCTGTACGTTCACCCAGTATTAGTGTAAGTATACCTTATGTGCACTCTAGCTTTCATAGTCAACCCAAGAATTTCTATGTTTTAATGCTGAAATCTATTTCAATAGAGAATGTAGAATACATTCAAATTATTATGAGTAAAATTACAGAAAAACAAATATAAGTCTGTGTGTTTTGTTTTTTTTAAAGGTAAAAATGTAAAGGTATATGAAAAACTGGAATATTCTTGTGCGAAAAAAGAAAATCTCAGGATTTTCATATGCGCTGATTGTTAAACTACGAAAAATTTAATGAAATAATTAGTGACAAGAAATTGAAGTGTATATTTGAAATGTCTGAAGAGAAATGGGAAAAATGAAAGGATGATTGATAAAAGGATGCAAAGGGGTTTAAAAAAAAACCAACACAACCCCTTCCCCTTTAACATCATTTTCTGGAAAAGTCAACAACTTTTTCATAATATTTACAATTTGGTGGCATATCTAGGTACTCCTTTATTTCCTTTTTTTAAAGAAAAAACTTATAATACTAACTTGCTGTCATATATCACAAATTACTTTTGTTATACATGAACATAACAAATACAAATATCTATAAAAAAAGTAATTGGTACCCAAACTGCCGATATTTTATTGTCAATATGAAAAAAAGTTTTCATTAACATAAAAATGGTACAAACAGATCTTTTTCCTCTATTTAAAAATAGAAAATATCATTTAGGCATTAATAAGTGTCACACAAACACAAATAATAGTATTTCTCTGTGTGTCTGTGGAATTTTATAATATCAGTAAGTAAACTATTGCACTATAGCATATAATCACGCTAAGTTTCTTTCCAGTTCCACTGTCAGATCAGTTTTCTGTCTTACAAATATATGTTACAGTAAAAACAAGGTGAATGTGTTAAAATTTACTTTTATAGTGGTTCATTTTAAATTTCTCTCTGCTTATTCATAAATCAGTGTGTTGTCACTCTAATCCACCAGCAATCACCCTGTTTGATAGTGATTCACTCAATACCAGAGCGAGTGATTTATAACACAGTCACATCCTGTGTACTCGACATACTTCAATAGTTTTATATTAGGACAAGAAGTCCTACAATACTGGACTTGAAAGGAAATTTCAAATTATACCCTTTTATTCTGAATACATGGATTTTGACATCAAACAGGCAGTAAATGTGACATAATTACAATTTTAAAATACAATAGTACACATTAAATAATGCTGCTTTTCTTCAAGCTACACTTCTCATACTTGTTTCAATACTAAAAACTTAAGAGTAAAAAATGTTTGTACATGTGCAGGGATAATAATGTAACAATCTTTTAACTGTATTTTTGAAAATAAATGTTTCCCCCAGGCAAATGGATTAAAATCATCATTAACATGTTTAAGGGAAATAACTTCTATAAGGAGTTGATGGACAATTTTCGGCTACCGGTATGTTCACCTATCTTTTAAAATTTTTTTACAGTTTTTATACGCCCCTTTACGGGATGTATTATGGTATACTATTATCCGTCCATCCGTCTGTCCATCTGTAAATAATTTAAATAACTCTTGTGATCAACTACACACTAGTATAAAGATAGAATAAGCTAAAGGTAACAAGGAGGGACTTTATGGTACATTTAATTTGGATCACATCTACTTTGTTCCAAAGAACCTATAATTTCAACAACATCAACTGGTAAGTTGTAGATCACAGACAAGAGACAAATGATCAGACGGAAACACCATTGATGGAAGTTTATTCTCCCCTAGATCTTCTCCTGTCGGAATTTCCAGTATAGCTTTTGGACGGAAATGTTTGGAGTGCCAAATATAGTCAATTGTCTTGCATGATTCTTCTCGTCCGTTTGGACTTCTCCTAGATCCGCGAAATTTCCATGTGGTGTAATCTGGCTCTGATTTTGTTTTGGAAAGATATGTATATGAACTTTGTAGACCTAACACGGAAGCTTTGAAAGCTGCATAAACTTTCTCCTTTGGATCTGCATTGAAATCGCCACACACGATAACTGGACCACTTTCAACCTTTTTTTCCAAGTAATGAAGTAAATAAGATCCCTGACTAAAACGTAGCTCTTCAAACCCTGTCTTCGCCTTAAGATGAGTGACTGCTACTGTGAAATTTGGAGCATGATCATTTCCAATGATACCAAATGTACAAATAACACAGACTTGATTTGTTTCATAACCATTGTCTTCCAACACGATGCATTTTTGTGAGATCAGTTTAATCTTATCAGTGGCATAAAAAATAGCGCATCCATCAGGTCCAGTGTGATGTTCAAAGTCTAAACATGGTGAATCGGGTTTGGGAAAGAAAATACCCTCGTAACCTACTTTGCCAAGATTTTCTTTGACAAATTCAAATTTATCAACTTCCTGTAGACAGAGTATTTGTGGACTGTATTGTAAAAGTTCTTCAATAACTCGTAAATTTCTGTTTTCCCAGTGTAATGCTTCTTTAGGACACAGAACAAAATTATCACTTCCATGACACAGAGCTGAAAAGAAAAACAAACAACTTTGTAATCAGAGTAAGGAATGAGGGTCTGGATGGGGTTTACAGAATAGAGAATAATAGGCAATTGAACCATTGTCGTGATGTCAGCCTATTCATTTACTGTGGATTCTGTTTCTAAATCTGTTGCTGAAATGGACTCACCAAATTATATTCAATTGTTTTCTTTGTGTGCCTAATTTCATTAAATTTGAATTGGTCAATTTACTGATTTCTGTTCACTAATGGAATTAATTTAAAAACTTACCTTTAAATTTTGTAATTTTTATATGCCTTCACTGGGAATCGAACCCTTCTTGAAATCTGATATGTGTGATTGACATCAACACATCGATGTAACCTCTCGGCTACCAATGGGTTGCAATTTTAAATGTGTAGTTTATATATATAAATGAACATATGATACACATCGGTACAACGGTCACACGTCTTATTTGTTGAAACAATTTTTTTCAGGTTTCTTTATCAATTGTAGTTTTCAACTAGTTCAAGTCATTGCTGATACAAATGCTTTACGTAAATGTCCTAAATATCTGGCAACAGCTGTACGCATGATAAAGCTGACAGGACTGGTAGAACAGACAGATACAGAAAGTATTTCTAAGTCCTCTGCACAGTGTTGGAAAAGGGGGAAAAAATCCAGTTTACCCCTTTGTTCTATTTTTACCTGTGACGTGCATGATTTTCATTGGATAAGAAGAAATTGAGGATTGTTTGAAGAGGACATACCAAACATCAACACTGACAAGTTTTTTAACATTCCACTTTGTGGTTTCAGGTGAGAAGATTATGACAGATTAAGACAACTGCAACCTAGTGATGGCATAAGCTCACAAAGTTTTAAAGCATTTAAATAAAATTAACATTGGTCATGTTGAAATAATGACAACTCTAGCAAATACATGTAGTTAGAAATGCTTTGAACAAACAAGAATCCTGCCGGAACTGACAAAATACGTCAACCTATCCAAGTTTTTGACACAACGGGGTTCGATTGTAATAAACATTATCTCTTAGTCTAATGCAACAGACGAATTGAAAAAATATCGTAAACCTGTATTTCCAGATCTTCATTATTGAGATGCCTCTTTTTACTCGTAACTTATTTCAAGTTTAGCCTCTTTCCCTTTATAATCACAAACCTTGGGCTAAGATGTTCCACTGCATAACTCTGATCACAGGCCCAACATTCTTATCATTATCATCACATACATGGAATTCCCTCTTCAGTCTTGGAGGTAGATTTTTCTTCTCTATTTGTGAAATTGTATCTAGGAACAACTTGCTGGCTGCCATTTTCTAACAAAAAAGAAAGGAAAAAGGGACGAAAATTAAGCGTTGGTGTATAGTTAATAACATTTCTTGATGCCAATTTTCACATCAAATTGTAATATTTTTATGTAATTCACCTCATTGGACATGGTTTAAAATAATTCATTTGGTAGCCGCTAATAAATGGTAGATACAGAATTCTTACACACCATGTACATGTAATTCAGTTAAAAATACACACTCTGTTGTATTGAGTAATTCACTGTGAATCAGGGTGGTTGCCAGGTGATTGGTGCTACCCTAGACCTTGTTTTATGACCTTCTCATGATCAGATAGTCATAAAGTATCAAATATGCAAAGAGATACATACATGTACAATGTTATCTGGGTGAATTACCTGAAATCAGCAGAATTCACTATGAATTTGCCTACAACAGTAATTTTTAACCTTTAAGGTGGTACCTAACACTACAGGGAGATAACTCTGTAAAAATCAGCTAAACGTTTTAATTACGTTGTATTGTTAAGGAAATATTAAGCTTCTCAATGATCAAAATTAGTGTTTGTCAAACTGCTATATAACCAATGAAATTTTTCTGATAAAGTGGTTGGTTCAAATTTTTTGAAATTTTTATATTTTTGTCAAAGGGTCAAAGTAAACATTTTGTCAAATTTTTATGAAAATTAAACGAGCCAAATTAATATTAGTCAAGGTGTTGGGTACCACCTTAAACACCTTGTTTCTTCTTATTATTAACTCTTTAATCTTTGATGTTTATATTAGGTATGAACATTTAAATATTTTGGTCTTGAGCATCACTGAAAAGACAATTATTATCGAAATGTGCATCTGGTGCAGTAAAATTTCTACTGTTAATGTAATTACACTTAAATAAAATCAAATGTATCACAAAATGATATATCTCACAGAAAAAAGTATTACCTTTACTTTTCATAAAGTGATTGAGTTAATAAACCAGTTTTAAAATATAGAGAAAAGCAGATGATATTTATCAAGAAAAAGTCCTAGTGAAATTCAAGAATTATATATGTTATACAAAACAAGCAAGTTTAACCCCCCCTCCCCACACACACACACATTCTTTATGTGCAGCAGTGCCTGTCATAAGTCAAGAGCCTGTTGTTCAGTAGTTATTGTTAGTTCTTGTCTGTCATATTTGTTTTTTGTAAATTGTTTTATTATAAACTAGACCATAAGTATTCTCTGTTGAATTGCTTCACATTTTTCATGTCGGGGCCTTGTACAGACGACTACATAATATATACTATATGGGTTTTTCTTATTATTTAAGACCGCACGGTGGCCAAAAGATGCTTATATCACATTTTAATTTTTACGGTGATGTTGTTTATCAAGTCCATATATTTAGATATGATTCAGGTAAACTTTTTGATCCTTTAACTAAACCTAATCTAAAAGGTTACCAATTCTTCACTGTAATTATATCTTTGAATACTGCTTTTCTTGGTATAAATATTGATTTTGTTATCAGTAAATTAAAGCCAAACTGAATACCATTTATATAAAAATATTAAACATACGTGTATTCACGGTCTTACAATTATCGCGATACTTACAAGTATCGGGACATATTGTAAGACCGTGAGTACACACATTTCAACTATACATGTTTATTTTGGCATTGCATAAGGTTATGTTTTCTCTGAATGCTAGCGACGTCTTTACACTAAATCCATTGGATGTTGATTTTTTATTGTTTGTTCTTATGTTGTACTGTTACACTACTGTCCCAGGTTAGAGGGAGGGTTTGGCAAACTTGTTTAACCCTTTACATGTCACATTCTGTATATGCCTGTCCCAAGTCAGGAGCTTGTAAATCAGTGGTTTCTGTATACATTATATAATTTTGTTTTTCATTAATTGTTTTGTACATAAATCAGGCCGTTGATTTTCTCATTTGAATTATTTAAAATTGTCTTTCATGGCCTTTTATAGCTTACTATATATATATCTCATGTATATGGTATGTGTTACTCATTGTTGAAAGCTGTGTGGTGACCTTTAGTTGTTTACTTCTTGTTTAAGGTCATTCGATCTCTGGTGGAGAGTTGTCTCAATGGCAATCATACCACATATTCTTATCGTTATATTATTTCTTCATCTGAACTCTGGTGGATACATTGTATAAATCTATTTGGCAATCGTACAATATCTCCTTATTTTTTTAAATAAAATGCTTTGCTGAGCGCAGCCTGATACGACCTGTGGTCAAACCCTGAACAGTTAGGGCAAATTTGGACACAATATTCAAGCTTGATACTATCTGAATTTGGATTGTGATCAAATTTTTGACATAATATAGGTTTCTGACACAAAATAAATGTGGTCAAAGATCTTACAAATCTAATGCGCAATACTGTGCAATTGAAGATTTCTTCTTGAAACTTTTCAAAAATTTGAAATTTTGAAAATTTTGAAAACAAAATATGAACCCTTTTAAAAAAAATTGGAACCCCCCCTTCTCCCCAAACTTTTTGAATCCCCCTTTTAGCATTAACCATCAAACTCAATTGCAGTCTTTCCTTTGTAGTATGGAACCTTTTAGTACAATTTTAGAGAGATCCATACACTTAATCACAAGTTACTGTCTGGAAACTAGAAAAAATGCTTTTTTTAACCATAAAAGCCCATTTAAATACATCATAAAAGTATTAAAATAGAAAATGACATCATAGTCATGGCTAAAATTAAAAAACCTTCATCAGCAACTTTTAATAGTAATATCTAAAAATAAAATTCCTTCATCAGCATTTAAAGTAAGTAACTTCTAAAAATAAATTGACAGCTAGGACTTTGCAACCATAAAAACCCATTTAAATACACCATAAAAGTATTAAAATAGAAAATGACATCATAATTATGCCTAAATTAAAACGCTTTCATCAGCAACATCACATAGTAATACATGTATCTAAAAATAAAATTCCTTCACATACATAATCATTGCTAAAATTAAATAATTTTTAAAATAGAAAATGACACCATAATCATGCCTAAAATTAAAAAGCCTCCATCTGCAACATAAAATAGTAATACCTAAAAATAAAATTCCTTCACATACATCATTATGGCTATAATTTAATTACCTTTATTAAACATTTTTAAAATAGTAACTTCTAAAAATAAATTGACAGCTAATCACCTAAATATAATACATTTCTTTATACATAATTTACAAGCAGTGTAAGGTAGGTAATTTGACAATATTTGTTTGAATTACCTCCCTTACACTGCTTTAAAATTATCTTTTGTACTTATGTAAATGTCCATTCATCTGGAAACCCGTGTTTTTCCCCACTTTTTGCCCCTAAATTCCTAAACAGTTTGAGCCATAACCCCCCCCCCCCCCCCCCCCCCCAAAGCAAATTCTTACCATCCCTTTGTGATATGGTAACTTGTGGTATAATTTCAGAGAGATCCATACACCATTTCACAAGTTATTGTCTGGAAAATTAGAAATATGCTTATATGGGCCCCATTTTGGCCCCTAATTCCTAAACTGCTAGGACCATAACCCCCAAAATCAATCCCAACCTTCGTTTG